AGTATCTGAGACTTCTCCATCAATGCCACTGCAATTAGCACGCAGGTTAAAATGTTAGATGATGGTGTAGCATAAAGCTACCTTATTTACAAAGAGTAGGGTGAAAAGATAAAAAAGCTGGAGCAAATTAACTAGATATTTCCAGGGATAGAAATAGCTATGAGTTTTCTAGAGCTGGGCACAGGGTTTCTGATTCCAAGCCACCCCTTTGCATCTAGAAGCTGACAACATCTGCTGTGAGGTGGCTTGGGAATTATCAGAAAATTCAGAGGGCCAGGGGAAAGTTGAGATTTTTGTTTTCCCCCTACCTTAGTGTGGTAGGAAAAACTATTTCATGAAAGGCCAGGGCCAAGAAACAGAAGTTGTAGAGAAGAATAGATTGGGTTTGGAAGTGGCAGTAGATATGTAAGTGAGCCTTTGTGGCCCAGAAACATAGTGATTCCTTGGTGTCAGGGATAGAAAACCTGTATTTATGCACAGATGAGTTCAGTATATCCACAGCACAAAAATTCATTGGGGCAACTTCTTGAAATGCCTCTTGAAAGAGCGAGGAGAAAGTTTGGAAAGCAGTTTCAAAAGTCACTTACTCAGATGATTCTGGTCCCTGTAAGATTCAGAGGTTAAAGTGTAAAAGGATTTGAAATGCTTTTGGGTAGAGTGTACAGCTTAAGTGGTTATAATTTAGCCATTTTATTTGACCTCAGAGAGCGCTCTGCTCTGTACCAGATAATTGTTAAAACATTAAAAGCACAACCTCTGTTGTGTATTTAGACATAATTATTAGGTCTATCTGGATTGTTCCATTGGCTTACTTTTTTTTTTTTCAATGGGACCACAAATATTTTCATGGTGATATGTAATTATTAAGAGGTACAAACAGTAATAAAAATTCTTTAGGCTTAGTTAAATACAGAGAAATATATAGAAAAAAATCAGAACTTTAAGTGGTATTGAATGGCATTCCTCATTGCATTTCCACTGAGCTGTGTTAGTTTACTCTGAGTAAGTGTCAAAAGCGGTATCTTCATTTGGCTGTAAATTCCTATTGTTCCTCTCCAGCCAGGCTTCTTTTTCTGCATTTTCTTCCCCTCTCTGTCTAGAACCCCAACTCTTACCTCTGCTGCTATTGATACTATTCCTGTTTCCAGTAGTGAGAAGAGCTTACTTGTAATATTTCAGATTTCCTGGGAAATAACCCTGTTGTCTCTCTCTGAGCCTGAGTATTTGCTTTCTTCAGGCAATTGTGTAGCACTTGCATTCCCCCCTCTCTTCTTATACACCCAAATAAACCCTTTCAATTTTTTTTTTTTTTTTTTTCTGGTCTGTCCAGGTGGTGTACTTTACAGCTACGTTCCCCTATGTAGTTCTCATCATCCTTCTTATCAGAGGAGTAACTCTGCCAGGAGCCGGAGCTGGAATCTGGTACTTCATCACACCAAAGTGGGAGAAGCTAATTGACGCTATGGTGGGCTTATTAGTGCACTTGCAGCTCTGCTAGGGCGAATAATTCATACACATTTCTTAATGTCTTTCGCAAGCATTTTCTATATTGTCATCTGTGGAAACTTGTTTGTCATCTTACGTGGAGTGTTGTTGCAATGGATGTTTGTTATTTGTGTGCACATTATTTTTCTTTTTAATGTATATTGTTCTAGATACAGTATTTACTTCAGATTTAATATCTCACCTGAATCGCTCAGAGTAGGTGCATTTGGAAAATAGGGAATTAAAAAGGAAGTCTAGATTTTCATACGCTGGTGTCTGATGGATGCTGCCTTGACTTGAACAAGCACACGAAGCTTTTAATAGGTAACATGACAAACCTATCTGCATTTCTTGAGAAACGCTCTGAATAGGTAGGTATATTTTACTCATTGAGCAAAGATTGTTCTAATAGTGCATTTAAGACATCAGATTAAACAAAACCCCATTATACATCCTAATTGAACTCCCCGATAGCGTATATGCTGACGCAGAACAGCTGTGACCATTCTCCAGCCTGCGTTGTACGAAACAAGGCTGCTTGCTGCGTAGGAGAGGACGGAATTAAGGGACCTGGGACCTGGCTTTGCTCTTTAAGCATTGACTACGAGACGGAGCTTCAGCTCTGCTGCCTCACTCATGGTTTCAACTGATTTCTAAGAAGCCATTTGTTGCCAATGAAGCCGGTAAAACATGTTCCAAAAATGCGCATGGATTTGTGGCCGTGTAGACATAAATCCACCCACGGCTCCTATGTTTGTCTCATGTGGCACATGAGCACCCGTGTGTCAGTCTAAAGTGTCTTGAGGCAGGGGTCTGGAGACGGAACTGAAGCCTGAGCTGAGAGTTACAATTCAGACTCTTTTCTTTAGAAATTTAAGAGGGATTTTTAGCAACACCTCAGGAAATTTACTGGTGGTTCCCTGCCCCCCTTCCCCAAGAAATTTTTTTTTCCTCTCTCAATAGCAGTGTGATATCATACTGATAGATTGATAATTAAAACTGAAAACAATTTCCTGGATGACTTGTGCAGATCTTAATTTCCTTAGTATCTCTGCAATAATGGGTATTTTGATCCTTTGGTGATGGGAGTATTAAATCTTTTGCAAACAATACAGAAATTAATTTTGCATTACATATGAGCATTTTTGGATCCCACATTGTGCAATAAAGGAGGGGGGAACTGTTGCCTTTTGCAAAACGGGGCTGTCTGAATACACTAAGTATCTGTATAACCCTGGGTAAGTGTTCGATAATGTTGAGGCGAGCTTCTGGTTTTAATTTTATTTGCAGTTTTAACATTAATTAAGAGCTGTATATTATGCTCAGCTAGATGAAGGATTGACTGCTTGCTGGCTGGGAACTTTTAAAGTAGTGTTTAAGTAATCCCTTCAAACTGGTTAGTGTGTGTATAGGTCCACCCGCTTGTGCATGCACATATATCTCCATTTTTGCACTGTGGACTTGGATGGAAAATCAGACTTTGTAGGAAAGCTTGTAAATAGAAATACCAATGCTTCGAACATTTTGCAAGTGATAAGCAAGACCAACTCCTCTGAAATTCCAGGCAATTTAGAAATGTTTTATCTAAATGCATTTAAGGCTTTGAAGAACTTTGTTACAGAACAAACAATGTGGGTTGGTGGTTTGGGGGGGGGTGTTGTTTCTTTTTTCTTTTTTTTTTTTGATTAAGAGAGACTCGGTTGAACATGTCTTGTCTTCTGATGGGAGGAAAGTGGGCCTTGGTGACTAAATAGCCCTAACTTATGCTATGCTGTTTGATGTACACCTAATGACAGAAACTTACCCTAATTTTAATGTAATCTCATTCATAAGTAGCGCATCAAGCAACATGGAGGTTCTCACTTTTATCATGAAGATGAAGTATGATTTAGGACCACTGGGGCATAAACCATCCACACCCGATGCAAATTTTTCCTCTTGATTTGTATTTTCTTTGCTGAATGTATTTGAATGGATATGTATCAAGCAATGTAGTTTGATTATTTTTGCCTTCCATATACGGCAAAGTTTATATTGTCATTTTAGATGGGCTCAGTGAGAACAGTACTCCTCATCAAATGGGCAGGATTATGCTTTTGAATGTTTTATTGACATCCACGGCTCTAAAGTTCAGTTAAACTACTTATGTGTTAATCCCCTAACAGTAACATTTAATAGTGTTACTGATCTTTCTAATACTCTTTCCTGAAGCTGATGCTATTTCCTCTCCTGTCTATCTTTCTTAGGTTTGGAAGGATGCTGCCACTCAGATTTTCTTCTCCTTATCAGCAGCATGGGGAGGTCTAATTACTCTCTCTTCTTACAACAAATTCCATAATAATTGCTACAGGTATGTGAGAGTGAAACCTTTTGGTCTTATTAAACAGGTCTTCTCCAAAAACAGTTGTCTTCCAACTTGCAGAAATCTGTTTTGAAAGACCCTCCTCTTTTTTTCTTCTTTTTTTTTTTTTGTGTAGTTTTTGTTTGTTTGTTTAGTTTTTGTTTGTTTATTTTTGCTTCTTTAATATTTTTGGGTTTTTTGTGTTGTATCTTCTCCCCAGGTCCTAATCTACTAGTCTCAAGATGAGCCTTGGGCTTATTATGGTCCCTATTGGCTCTTCATTTTCGGAATCAGCAGGTTTAGGTTGAAGGGCGATCTGGGAAGCTGTCAACAGCTGTGAGCAGTGGTATGAAACTGTGCCAGTTGGCAGCCTCTGCTGAAGAACAACCCACGTGTAGAGTGGGATGAAGTCTGCCTTTGTGAGACATGCATGAGTTTAACACCTGATATCTATATACATGATTTCTGTCTCTCCCAAATGTTTGGGTTTTTTTTTTTTTCCAAATACTCTTGTCGAGGTTTTGCATGTACAAAGTTATTTTGGGTTGTGAAACTTAAAAATACTTTTATTTGAAATCACTGAAAGTTATTTTTACAAGGAAAAAAGTTATTGTTCTGGTGGCGTAGTATAGTTTTTAATCAAAAAGCATACCAGGTAAATGTCTGCAGATGGATAAAACAAAAGCAAGTGGCATTAGTAGAATGCTTCCCTACTATTTTATTGTCTTTAAGGCCAATCTTGTTTCTACTGAAGCAAACCTTTACCGATCCCTGCAGTGACAGAGGTGCTGATTCTGGACAGCCAACAGCATGCATAGGGCCTGTGCCAAGGGCATGCTTAAAATCTCTCCTGAATTGAGACTTTAAAGCACATGCTCCTTGGGATTTGAACTCCCATATCCTATAACTTCTGAGTACTGTATACAATATACTTACCTTTAAAAAGAAATGTGGATCAGGATTTAAAAAAGGAATTTCAAAATAATTTCCTACTAGTGTTTGAAAGTAATTTAATATAATTATCCTAAAATATTGATGAATAAGTAAGTGTTGCATACTCAGTAACTCCCACCCAGCAATCCTTTGGGTCCTATTTTTGAAAATGCTCATCCTGGGCTTTCATTTTTTTTGTTGATGTATGAACACATTGAGAATATCAGGACAAAAAATGGGAGAAGTGTCATGCTATCTTTCTGCATTCATTTAACAACGTTTTGGAGAGTTTGGAAAAAGTTAATGAAAATTTTGAATGAAATACATGGCAGCAAAGTATAAAAATCTTACAGGTCTAATACTAAATACATGCTTTACCTATGTCAGAGAGGGCTATGGGAGACTGAAGCAGAAATAATTAGAAAAGCTTAGTTACTTCTAATCTTTTTAATTTTACAACACATCTTGAATACTGAAATGAAGCATGACTGTTTTCCCTTTCAATTTTTGTATTCATTACATTCTAATACTGCAGATAGAATTGTAGTTTTCAGGTACATATTCACTTTAAATGTCATTAAATAATTTATAATTGCAGTAAATTTGCATAAATTCACTTCATAATGCATACCTAAAATATTTTACTTAAAACTTGTCTGGGTTTTGGAAGAAGATTAACACGTGATGATCTCAAACAGAACATTGTAATTTTTTTCTGTAGACCTGAAGAATTAACCTAATCATTCCTGTTAAGAGATGCTCTGCTAGATTCCAGAAGTTTGCCAGCTCAGTGAGGTTCTTGGCAGCTTTTCAGGTTGTATTTCATTCTGTTCCTGACAAATGAATAGCAGTAGGGATAAGCAATTCTAGCCAACTTAAAACCCAAAACATTTAAAGTGGGTGACTTGTTTGTTCCTAAGTTGTATTAGTTTACGGGGAAGTCTTCTGGACATGCATATTGTGAAGAAAAAATAAAAATCCTATCAAGAATGTAATAATTATGGATGGAGATCATGAGGGCTGGTTTCCTGTCAAGTCACACGTACTTACCCAGTATAGTATGACATTCAGGTATGGGTTTCTTGAGATTCCCTTAACAGCAGCAGTGATGGAAAATTGTACCAGGGAATCCTCTACAGATGGGCAGGCGTTTAAGTGAGTGCTGCAAGGTACAGAAAGCTTAACCCTGAAATTGTGCATATAAATACAAAAAAGATACAGGACAAAAATCACCTTACTTGGATGGTGGTGGTTATTCCGTATGTGAGCAGATATCCACATCAGGCAAAGAGTAAAACACTGCATTACAAATCGTGTCATCATTGCTGCCTTCTTCAGAGAGGCCAAGAGCAGAAATGCTCATCCTCCTTCTTGGCCTGTGGCTTTCTGTATAGCACGTGGGTGACGGAAAATTGCACAGCTGATTCCTGGTGGTGTTGTGAAGACTTCTGTCATCTCTGATCAGCACGAAATGCATCTGATAAGTGTAAAAGTATACCTTCATCAGCATTCCCACAGGATGTGTGTGCTCATGAGACTCCTTAATTGTGTACAAGCCCCTCCTCCCTTGCATGTATTACAACAAGGTGACGTGGCTTCTTGTGTTTTCTTTTCAGGGACACATTGATAGTCACATGTACCAACAGTGCCACAAGTATATTTGCAGGCTTTGTCATCTTCTCAGTTATTGGCTTCATGGCAAATGAGCTCAAAGTGAATATTGAAGCTGTGGCAGACCAAGGTAGGGTACACTGCCATTTCATTACTTAGGCACCTGGTGGCACCTTCAGCTCTTTTATTAATGATGACATTGACACTGGAGGTGGGAATAATGGCTTCAAACTGGAGTGGATTAGTAAACCACTTGTAGGCGTTTCTGTACGGGAGAAGGTGTGCTGGGAAGTACGCTGGGAAGTCAAGATATTACTTGAAGCCTCCTTATCGCTCATTTGGTAGAAGGAAAGAAGCTGAGACTCATTTAAAATCTTTCTGTAAATGACTGATGGGGGGGTAGGGTGAGATGTCTCCTTCACATACTCTAAGTGGTGACTGGTGTTCTCATTTGTCTCTGCTGCTGTTTGTCAAATCCTCTTCAAGGTAAAAGGTGTCACTGGTGGTGGGAATCTTGGATGAGAGGACAGTGGGCTTCGCAATATGGGGGGGTGGGAGAAATATGGTGTGAGAGGTGGATTGAGCTGAACTGTGGGAAAGTTGTGCCTCCATGGGGAAGTAAAAGATTTCTGAAGAACCAATTAGACGATCTTCGTTGGTGAAATGACATGGTTACAAATGGGGATCTGAAAGGCCTTAATTTGTAGATCTGAAAGTGAGTGAGAATAGTGTGACTGATGGAAGAACTGGTGCTGTCATGTATGATTTGGTATGAAGTAGCAGGAGGTAGGAAGGGAGGAGCTTTTGGGCTAAGAATCTGAGAAGTTTAAAGGGTTGTAAAAATCTGATGGGATTACAGAGGGAAAATTGTTACCTTAGTCTAGTCCTACTTTTCCTGTGAAACGTGCAGCACTTTGCCTCTAGGCAACCGACCCCCAGATATTTAAGATCATTTTGAACTGTGTTAAAAAGGCAAATTTTTAATAATTTTGTAATAACTTGTATACATATTTACAATCCCTCCACCATAGCTATTTCTGTGAGCACATGTGGGTGCTAAGTGTATTGTATTAGCTTTCAGCACTGATACGGTCATTTCTAAGCACTGAAGGACAGTGATTTATTAATCTCTGTGAGCCATGGGGATGGTTCCTCAATGTTATCCCCCCAGCCTGCAATAGCACAGAGCAAGAGGAGGCTCTGAATGGGAGAAGGATGGCAGAGTTAAAAAAATGAACGTCGCATACTCATGGCTTCTATACATTATGTGTCTCACTGTCTGCATTAATGTGAAGACACTCAACATTTTTTCTGACAGGTTTGTTGTGTGGATAAATTCAGTGCCACAAGGTGCTATGTATAGCCTAAGGTACCTGACTGACTCAGCATCATGATTCAGAAATTGCAGCAGTGAGTTGACAATAGGGGATAGAAATCAAGACAACTTTCCATAGTTTCTGTACAGCAATATTCATAGGTCATTCTGGACAAACTAGGTATGAAGGTTAATCCGCATTTAACAATGTTGTAGGAGCTAAATGTAAAACAGACAACATGAGCTGGGGACACAGAAATCCTGTAGTTGTAGGAACAAGAGCCGGTGAAGCAGATGACGCATTCTTTATTTTTTCTTGAAAAAAACCTGTTCTTGGAACTCTAATGTTTCTAATCGTTTATTAGAAACAAGCTACTACAGGTGAAAGGAGGAGAACAACAGAGGAGGGAACAAGATCTTGCTGCTGGTTAAGAAAAAGAAAAGGCTCTTAATTTCCTTTTGCTTATCCTTCTCTGTAAACTGAAACATGGATAATCCCACAGAATTTGCAGTACTTCTGACCTCAGCAAGATGCAAATAAAGGTGCTGGGTCACATTCAATTTCTGCAGCCCCTTTGGTTGGTAGTTGGCAGCCCAGATGTTGAGATGAGGGGAAGCTTGTGAGCTGCAGTTCAGGCACAGGGAGTTATTCAGTCTGGGGCTTGCACCAGCTGACCTGTGGTGGGATGGGCTGCTAAGTGGGCTGCGGATTCAGCTGGAGGGTCTGAGAGGAGAATTTCATAGGACGGTTAGCTAGCAAATAGTTTTTTTGATAGCAAGTAGAATCATAGAATGGTTTGGGTTGGAAGGGACCATAAGAGGTCATCTAGTTCAACTCCCCTGTAATGAGCAGGGACATCTTCAACAAGAGCAGGTGGCTCAGAGCCCCGTCCAACCTGACCCTGAATGTTTCTAGGGATGGGGCATCCACCACCTCTCTGGGCAACCTGTTCCAGGGTTTCACCACCCTCATTGAAAAAATTTCTTCCTTATATCTAGTCTGAATGTATCCTCCTTTAGTTGAAAAGCACTACCCCTTGTCCTGTTGCTCAGGCCTTATTAAAAAGTCTGTCCCCATCTTTCTTAGAAGCTCCCTTCAAGTATTGAAAGGCCACAATAAGGTCTCCCCTGAGCCTTTTCTTTTCCAGGCTGAACAACCCCAACTCTCTCAGCCTGTCCTCATAGAAGGGGTGTTCCATCCCTCTGATCATTTTTGTGGCCCTCCTCTAGACCTGCTCCAACAGGTCCATGTCTTAGTCCATGTGAAGTAGTAGGGGATACTGCGCTTGCAAGTTAACGTAATATCAATGCAGTCTTCAGTGCCTTGTCTCTTTTTTTTGGTCTGCCAGTCAGCTAAGTGGGAACAGAATATTTTCATTCTCATCCCCCTTTTCTGGCTGGATTAGACCATTATGTTTGAAAAACTCCACTTGAGGCCAGGTGTTTTAGAAGTAATGTTTCCATTAATCTTTTTATATTAGACTTTACCTCCATGCTGAAACAAACAAACAAACAAAACCCATCCCAAAATCTAAACCACAGTGTACTCACTGAAATTATTTGTAAGGAGTTAGAATCAAAGAAGCCGTGCTTGAGTGAAGCTGCAGTGGAAGCTACAAAGGGGTGGACAGGGCGGGGACGAGGAGACATAGCTGTTAGGGATGGTGGAGGGAACACTTGGTTCAGCTGGTTCATCTCCCTGGAGATGGCGTTATATTTAGCGCAGGGGATGGCAAACCCTTGTCTGTTGAGCGCTTGTTGGTGGTCTTTGAGTGAGCGACTGACTAGTCACAGGCTGGAGCTCTCTGTTCCCAGCTGTTTCAGCAGCTGTTCAAGAGGATGTGAAAAGCTGTCAGGAAACAATCTTATTGTAGGGGTGTCCGTGCATTTGTAAGAGCCCATTTAGGCCATTTAAAAAATATTTCACGAGGGTAAGACTTCACTGTTCTCCATGATAGGAGGAAACAAAATTTAGTCCCATATGAGAAGACGACTGTACAGTAGGAAGAGAGTGAAGATTAGGGATAACTGCAGGCTGACTTAGCACATTGAATTAACAGAATTGAAAAGCAGACCCAGCAAGCAGGGAAAAGAGCCAGCCCTTGTCCCTGCCTACCTTTTTTTATTCTAAACTTGTATTTCTTTTTGCAGTGAAGGAGAAAACAGCAGAAATTACGATCTCCCTTCAAGATTTTAAAACATTGAATGAAATTGTTAATGTAAATGGGAAGGAATTTGTTTTTCTTTTTACCTCCTAAAATATTAATCTGAAATACATGGTGGTTTTTCATTTAGAATCTTCCTTTCAGGAAGAACTCGTACCTGATGAACAAATAAAACACTCTTCATAGAGGGAAAGACAGGACAATCTATTTTCATTCCACTCTCTCAGTTTGATTAAGAACACACTGCAGTTGAAAAATTTTAGCAATTTAAAATGAACGTTCAAGGTCATTTGACTTTTTTTTTGTTTCAACACTCATAAAAACTTTGGAGTTTTCCTGGCTTTATTAGCCCTTTAGAAAGAGTTTATATCCCCCTAAATCTCAGAAGATGGAAGGATGGGAGCCAGCCTCCTTGTGACTGTTTACCTGTGCCTGGATGCTCCCTGGCATGTGATACCTTGGAGAGTTATGAGGGGCCAAGATGGAGAGATGTGCACTTTCATTTTCTATAATTAAACTTTTCCTAAAATTGTGATTAATGGGAACTCATTATTCTGAGACTTAATTAAACTTTGACATGCAGGAATCTAGTGGAAACAGAGCCCTTATCTCTAATAGTCAAGAAAAAAATCTTTACTCAAGAGACAAAAGCATGTGTCGATGAATACATAGTGGTTCTATAATCACCTTCCTATTCCAAAAAGCCATTTTTCTGCAGCACGTTTTAAAGGCAGCAACACTTACCGAGTCATGTACAGTGTTATCTTTTTACCATGTTGTTAACTTTTGTATTTGTCTTTTGTTCAGAAGGAACTCCAAATACTTTGCAAGTTGCCCGTGGAGATTATTTCACATGCTGCTAGAACTGTCTTTTTCTTAGTACGTGAGAAAGCAACAGTTCACTCTCCAACAGAAACAGTGTGGGGAGCCGTAGGAAATGGGATGCAAAACCTAGATTAGAAATGGCCAGGACAGAGTGAGTTTGGAGCCCCTTCTCGTGGCATGGGTCATGGCATCAGTACAACTTGGCTCTCATTTGTGTCTCACCTGACAGGAAACGTCCTTCAGAGCGTTTGAAGTGCGCACTCCTTTAGCTGGGATAACTGGAGAAGTGCCCTCGACTGTAATGCTACCACCACATTTCTGCAGCTTTTGCTCCCAGGCAAATCTAAGCATACTTCTAAAAATATTTTTTCTTCACAGTCAATAAAAATTATAGCCCAAGACAACAAACCACCAGAGAAAGGAAAATTCATGGTCAAGGCTTTAAAAGACCCCATCTCCTTATTTTTTCTGCTGTGCATTATTTCAGAATTTCTTGTAGATTTTTTTAGATTCACGGTAGTTATTACCTTGTCTCTGGTATCAGCTCTGTGTGTCTGTTATGTTCTCTCCTTCTCATCTGACTGTGTGCTGATGAGTTAAAGAGTATTTTCCATTCATCCCTGTAGTACTGAGGTGTGGATGATTGCTGTGTTGATCTAAGGCTCGGTTGCTAACTGGCAGGAACAGTGGTAGAAATTTGATCACTGAGCGGGAAAGAAACATAGCTGCAGTGCATGATTTTTGTTTATTTTTTGTATTTGGATCAGTATATTAGTATACTGATTAAATATGTATTCTGCAGCTTGGAAAGTAGGGGTGTATGAGTGTTTTGAAACTTACAGCCAAAATAGAAATTAATCATGCGAGGCTAAATTCTGCAATGGTTAAATCTTTCTGTAAATAGGAGAGACTGAATCGGATATTTTTTACTTTTACCAAGTGAAGTAATATTGTATTATACTTTGAAACATGACTCTTCACGTTTCCCTCTTTTCCATTCAGTGAACAATGTTAATGCAATGCAAGATACCACAGCCTTTCTTTTTCTCATTTCCAGGTCCTGGAATTGCTTTTGTGGTTTACCCAGAAGCCTTAACTAGGCTTCCCCTCTCTCCATTCTGGGCTATAATATTCTTTTTGATGCTTCTGACACTTGGATTGGACACTATGGTAAACTGCTTTTGTTTCCCATTCTTTTTCTCTTGCTGTTCCTATTTATTTGTTTGGAGGACCGTGAGATTAATTGCTGTTTTCCATGCGGTCAGTGAACCGCTTTCCAAAAAGAGGAATGAGGTAAGGCCATCAATGCTGAAATCATTTGGGTGAAGCTTTGGCGTTGACATCTGAGCATTTAATACCTAGGATTTGAAATTCTCTCACATTCCATTATATCCAGTTGGACCGCTTTGTGTGCACTGAAATAAGTCCGTTTATTTTGTCTTTTAGTTTGCCACTATCGAGACTATAGTGACCTCCGTTTCAGATGAGTTCCCCAAATACTTACGTACGCACAAGGCACTGTTCACTCTTGGGTGCTGCATCTCCTTTTTCATCATGGGATTTCCTATGATCACTCAGGTAATAATATTGTCTTTGAGCATCACTGCCTGTCCCCAGTCCCCCTCTGGTGGCCATTCTCCTCTTGCGCAAGTTGCAAAAGGTTAAGCTGAATTCTGCCGCATGCACAAAGACACCGGATGAGTCTGAAAGCCTTATATATATATATATTTTTTTTTTTTTTAAATGGATGCTCTGACTGAGATATATTTAAAAGACTTTGCTATTCAAATCTTTCTGAGAATCAGACTTCTAAAATTTATCCCTAGTCAAATGTCTCCAAAGTAGTCATGTAAATTAGGTAATCATGTAAAAAAAAAAATAATTGTATGTCTTAGAAACGTGCACACCAGTTTTGGGTGCTTTCCCTCCCAGATTAGATATATACTGATAGTCTTAGCAAACTGTAGTGTTAATAATTAAATTCTCATCTACCGTTGCTAGTCTTCAGTGTCTTTTGTCCACTAGTTCCTCCAGTGTTACAAATTCTCAGGAATTTCAAGAGGAGGTGCACAAAATCTGTCTTACTATTCATCCTTTTCCCCCCTTTTTCTTTCTTTCCCCTCACCTCATCACCTACCAGCTCAACTTTGCTGTTCCAAAGCCTAGGACGGATTCAGTCCTTCCTACCTTCCTTCTTTCCCTTGAATTATACTGCTTACTCTCTGCCCTGAAGATAGGGCTTTATATCCTTTCCAAAGAGATGAACTAGACTCACTATTACAGTATTCCTGGTTTCAATGGTGATTTTGCTTTTGATGTAGTATTAAGTGGTTAGAGACGCTGCTGCTGGAAGGTCTGGTCGCACTTCACTCCTTAATATGAAAAGACTGAAACCCATGTCTTCCCAAGGTGTGTTAGCTACCAGACTCAGGTGTACCTTCTGCTTTTTTTATTGTTGGATTTGATATTCATTCAGCCAGAAGGAAGAAACTATAGGGCAGCGTGAGTCTGTGTCCAGTCAATGTTTGGAATCTTACTTGGGACTGACAGTCCCGGGTCCTGCTCCTGTCCATTTTGCCTACCTTAGCACCAGTTAGAGTTGTGGCACATATGAAGAGAGAAACCAGCTATATGCCACAAATAATGGCTATTTTCTCCTTTTTTCTTTAGGGTGGAATGTATATGCTACAGCTTGTGGACACTTATGCAGCTTCTTATTCTCTTGTCATCATTGCCATCTTTGAGCTTGTTGGAGTTTCCTATATATACGGTAAGAAAAAATACTGTTATTGGACAGCCTATGTCAAAGTAACATTTTAGCATATGGTAAAGTAGCTGGTAACATGAAATTCTTAAGGAGAGGAGTAACACTTTTTTTTTTTTTTTTTTTGATAAGAAGCCTCAAAATTTCCTTATTTTGAATGGAAGCATAATGGGACTTCATTACTATAGGGTTCCTTTAAATATATGTATTCAAAAGACTTTTATATAGTCTAATGTCCCTTTTCCACCAGTAGCTTAGACTCAATGCTTAGAGATGAGTTTAAGAATAAACCAAGCATTTAGTGACACTTCTTCAGGGGCTCTTTCACACTCTAACAGTTTTAGGCTCAGAGACTTCCTGAGCCAGAATTGGTATCTTTGCATTTAACTTCTGAAGGATTTATTTTCCAGGTACATGTCCAGCCTTCCCTTTAGACCATCTGTGCATAACACAGAATCAAGACTATGCAGCTACCCAGAGCGATTAATTATGCACGGTGGCAACACCAGTTATATTGCTCCATGTTGAGGTACATTAAATTATGAGGAAGATCCTCAGCTAGTATAAAGCAGTGCAATTACCTTGATGCTACTGTAGCTATGTCTGTTGATACCAGCTGGTGATTTGCTACCAAATTTGTCCAGTGCTTTCAGGAGATTGATTCTTGGAAATGCATGATCTCAGGTGGTTGTAGTAGGAAATGCAGAGGTCTCCCTGCATAACAGATGATTAATTTGTGTCTGGAGGGTGGTGGTGCCGCTTAAGACTTGTCTTCAAAAGCAAAGCAAGATCTGAATCTCAGCGTTAAAGACAACAAAGATAAGGCTGTTTCCCCTGTTGCTAAGGATGGGAATGAATTACATATTTTCTATCAGCGAGACATAAACAATCCTGAGATGTTCTGTTGAAGGTGCATATTAGCTGCATGATCTTAGGCTCTAGTCCTGTGCACTGGATACTTAGATCTACCTACATTGTGGGGTGCATGCTGTAATATAAATGCATTAAAAAATCGTATGTAATTCAAAACATGCAGAATTTGTTGCTTTTGCTTGAGAAATGAATGTTGTAGACAGGACAGGGAATCAGCCCTTCCTGGTTTTCTCTAATTTCATGGAAATACAGAAGCGTATTTTATCTCCACTGACATCTAATCCAGGGAGCAGGCTTGAATGGTTTTGTAAGCTGTCAGATATGACCTAGTGAGGAAGTGTTAGAGAATACAATGGAAAAAGCTAAAACACCAAGAGAAAAGTTGATTGAGACCGGTCATGTTTTGGTTGATCAAAATGTTTGCTGCTTTTTATGTCCCTGAAATGTAAGTATTTTAAATAGAGTTGGTTTAGAAGTGTAATCTCTGTGAGTGAAATGATATTGGTAATTGCTATCAGCTTTACATTTAACCAGCCTTCTCAAAGGACCTGAGTGTAATGCTTTGAGATATCTCCTGAAGTGAAGTCAAGTCAAGAGACGGATTTTGGGTATTACTTGGCAGAACTCCTGGTTTGGAAATCAATGCTGGCAAGTTGTGCCATTGCTCTGTGCTTCAGTCTCCACGAAGACATGCAAGGTTTGCCCATTCCCTCCCCCCAGTTACCACAAGGTTTAGCATTTACCCATTCCTGTGGAAACACCGCTGGGTACGTGCGTCTGAGACAGTAGCGTCTGGTTATCGTACTGACCAGTTTCCCAGTTTTCCTAAAATCAATACAATTCCGTAAGAGGTGGTGAGTGGGAATGCTCAAGAAGAGTATAAGGGTTTGTTGGGTTTTTTTTACCCTCCTTCCTCCTCATCTGCTTGCTGACAGCATGCCTGAACAACGCTGTGCTAAAGCACTAGATGTTGTCGTTCCTCCTGGCCAGCGGTATCTACAGCATCACCCAGTCTGTGCCAAAAAGATTGCCCCCCTTAAAGCCATTGCCATCACTGTGCAAGATAAAAATTCCTTGTTTAGAATATTTTTAAATAATCCCCAAACTACTTAAATCTGTAGAATTTCTTTGTTCTGTGTGTTTTTAAATAAGAGTGAAGGTAAACAGGGAACAAACACTGGCTCTGTTCCTCCTCTGACCACTGCGTGGCAGAAGCACTACAAACCTGCCTTTGTGGAAGAAGATTTTACTAGGCTTGTAAGCAAATCGCTCTGGCTAGTGCCTGCTTTGCCCAACAAATTCAGTATCCCTTAAAACACTAACTTTTATGAAAACCATAGAATAATACAGAAATAGTGTCAGCACTGCAAAGGAAGGACTTGAATAGAGAAGAACTTTTTATTTTTTTAGTTACATATTACTTCAATGTAATCAGACTTGGAAAAGCTCTGCTGATTACAAGTCATTCTTTCCACGTTTTCTGTACCAACTGATTGTTAATCAACAGGTGTTAGTAAAGCCTTTCATATAAACTATTTCGAAGATTATTCCCTGGAATTAGCCTTTTGCTAGGCTAAAGAGCTTCCAGGTTTTTAGCACAAAAAAGGGAAGGTTTGCTTTACAATCATTATCCACTTCACTAATGTATCACAGTTACTTCTGCTGCATTAAAGCTACTTTTCTAAGGACTGTTCATAGGAATACAGCTTGTATATTTGTGATTTGCATGTTGTAAATGCAAGTGAAGCTGCTGCTCTTGTTATATTCCTTTAAGCAGTGCTTAAAATTGGCATAATATATTTTCAAGCTCTGACAATTGCTGTTTTACACTCCACTGACACCTTTGTATACTTGTACTATTCGTAGCAAGCAGGTTGGCACAATAGTGGCAGGTGCTTTTATGGTGAAATAAATCTGCCTTTAGTTCTTGTTACATGTTCTGCTTGCTGAGCTTGCTGAGATTTTTAAATTAAAAAGAGGCACACTTGGTTATTTCCTTGCAATCATTTATTTTTCAGTAGAGCCAGTGCTACATAATCCAGTCAAATGCTGTTTTTTATTTTGCATGCTGTTATAGATGTTTATTCTCCAGTTGTTTAGATTATGATGCATGATTGATAAAGAATAGCTTAAAGCGGCGGGTATTAATTTAATCATCAGCTTAATTCCCACTGTTGTATTTTGCAATGTGAAGCTAAATACAAAGATCCTCGTGCCTGAGCGAAACGCTGTTGGAAACTGAAAATGTATGACCTTAACTTTACTCGTGCTCCTTCTAGAACTGTTTTTTGACAGTCTGTTGTTGGGGAGGTTCATCGTCAGAGCGAGCGGTAACTGCTGCAGTGTATTTGTAGAAAGTGTTAGTAATTTTGAACATTTTACCTGTAGCAGAATATTGAAGTAGCTGTCTGCCTCGGTTTGCATTCTTCTTTTTAATGGATTTCATATCTGCAGCACTTATGAATACATCATCCTACTTTCGAGAGTGAAAATTGAGATATGGAATATAATGTATTGTTTATTTTCCAAAGTTATTCAGCAGGCCTGACTGGTCTGAGAGGGAGACCAGATATACTAAGATTTAATCAGCTTTCTGTTGACTAAAGCATTCTTTGCATTGTTCTGTGGAACTTGACAAACCTATTTTCCGTCTTTCACTGAGGAAGAGATGAGTACTGTGTAATCCCTGTATCTGTTTACATGCATTTGACTCCTGAACTGCTCATATTTAAAAGTGCCTGAAGCTGCGAATATCTACCAACAATTCTAAGAAGGAACTAAATTATTGGAGTTTCAAAAAAAAAACCTGTGCAGATTTGCATGAAGCTTGTATGAATTTTGGAGGCTGAAGCCCCTGGTAACTATCCAGTTAGGTATAACTCCTTTGCTGCAGCAAGTGTGGCTGCAGCAAAGACACTCAGATGAGCTTTAAACTTTGTGGAAAGACCCCTCAGCCCATACCTTCTGCTGCTGCAACTAGTTTAAAACTAGTTTTGTTCCCACCGCAGCACGCTGCAGGGATGACTGCTGCATGAGCGTCTCCCAAGCAGCTCGCTGCAGGTGGCGTGCTGAACTGTAATAAGCAGGTAAATAAAACACCGGGGCAAGTCATTCAGTTGCAGCTAAGATCTTCTTTCGGGTCCGTAACACAGTGACCCTGGGGGTTACGGTCGGTCCAGGCACCAAAGCTCTGTTACAAAATGGAGAAGCACACGATGAGTCAGATGGGTGCTGAAGTACGGTGATTCCATGGGTTGTAAAAATTACATGCATTTTCCAGAGAAGAGAAGGGGCTTTCTGAAGAAGAGCATTTGCTGTAGTCAGTGCAAAAGAGAAAAAGAGGGAGAGAAATTTCAGTTACAGAAAAAAATGTGAGATCTGGGTCACCTTGAGTTAGTTTTCTAAGCTTGCATCCGCTGCAGGTTGTCGTTTTCCCCGCCCCTAAATACAGTTCTTGCAATACCATCTTCTTGTTTAATTTCTGGATTTTTCTTCTCTAATTCTTATCATACCACAGTTTTTTAGCTTTTCTCTGACATGCTGTCTGCCTGAACTGGCTTGCTCGGTGCTCGCCGGCTCCGAGCTGGGCCTTTAGGGCTGCCCCAGCACCATCTAGCCCCGCTGCTTCCTGAGAGGCGCATCAGAAGACACTGAATAATGAACCATTGCTATTTTTTACCTTCTTAATTCTTGGAACAGTCAGGTGGATAGATTTATTTCTCCTTGATATCAACAGAAAGGCTTCAAAATTAGGTGGATCAAGCCTGGGGATTATCCCTTCTTACATTCAGCAGCTGCAGTGGCTGGCTATAAAGGCAATAAGAACATAAAGCAGTTTATTACTTTTGTTCCAAGTACTTCTTCCATCACTCAGTGACTTGCCTCCAATATTCAAGCTCCATCCCTGTCCCCACATCATAAAAGTTAGACTAAATGCTGTAGAATAATGCTTTGTAAAATTTAAACGACAGAGATGATCACCTGCTTTATTAGGTAAAATTGGTGCAAATTTGAAATGTTTGTGTGACAGCTGAGCTCAGCCTTGGACCCCAGACCTCCCTCTTACCATCATTAGAAAAGCTGGAAGAAATTTCAGTTTTGTTTTTATTCCTTTTGGATAAATTACTAATAGCTGTACCGAGTAGGGGCCATTTGCCTAAACAGCTCTGCAGAAGGCGGCTGAAAAGCAGACTGGCTTTTACCAGATGGGCAATAGCAGCTGCTGGGCCAGCACAGCTCTTCCAGTTGCATGGCGTGGCCAGGGAGATAGCTCCAGAGATGGCCGAAATACCATTTCCCAATCTTGCGTGGTTTATTAACTCAAGTTACTTTATAGATGCAATCAATACAATAATCTGAAGAATTAACACGTCAGTCAATCTGTTTAGTCAAACAATATTGAATATAATTTAAAATATTTACAGGTGCTCTCTAATAATTTTAAATATTGCTTACATATCAGGTGAAAAATAACAGGACATTATAATTTTCAATGCTAAGTGATACAGTTGTACCCCAGTCACATAGTAGGCCTAGAGAAGCTCAAGTATCATCTATGCTGAACCAGGTATACAGATATTAATAAAGTTCATCTTCACAGTGAAATATAACGAGTATGCACATAATTGCAGCTAACCAGTATGTACTATTAATGCTTTAACCCGAAACATACTGAACACTTAATGTCTGTGTAAAAGCTCAATTTTGTTTTATTCCTTAGGAAGTAAATATCTTATTAGAATGGCTCCCACCATAATAGTCTCATTTTTTACTGGGTATTAGATCTTCCTCTGAGGTTTTCAACCCACAAGTCTGAGTTTGTTTTTGTCATTAGACACAAGGGAGGTCACAAGAGCTGTGTTGCAATTGCAGCTGGTTTCTTTCTTACCTGATTGCATTTACTTTTGCTGTTTACAGGATTGCAAAGATTTTGTGAAGATATAGAAATGATGATTGGATTCCAGCCAAGTAAATTCTGGAGAGTCTGTTGGGCATTTGTGACCCCAACTATTTTAACAGTAAGCAAAAAAATTTTTAATGTCGTCTCCAAAGAGTTTTGTTGTTGTTTGTTTTTTCATCATTCATGACGTTTCTGAATGGTAGCAATTAGATCTTGGATGCAGATACCTAGACACACGCACATGTGCGCACGTATGTTCTTGCATGTATGTGTAGTAGACAGAACATAAGTAATGGTATTTTTGGTGAGGGATGGTGAGGCTCCACGTGCTGCCATGGTAGCCTTTCCCTCTCTGTGCAAAATGCTGCTATGGCATACCATTTTTGATTATTGTATACATATGTGTGGGTGTAATATATGTGTAAGTATATATATACATAGAGAGGGAGAGGAAATGAGACGATCCTCCCGTCTGCTCTCAGGCTGAGCTAGGGAAAAACCATTTTATTGAGTCATAAACTAATCTCAGAGACACGCTTTGGAAAGGCTTACGTGGAAATTTGAGTGACAAAGTTTTAGCTGCAAAGACGAAGATATTTTTGCAGAGGTTGAAATAGTTATGTTTAACATACATACGAATACTCGCTAACAAACAGAAATCCCTTCAGGTTGTCTAAAAAAGAAATAAAAAAGAAAAAAAAAAGAACAAGAAAAAAGAACAAAAGAAAAAATAAGAAAGGAAAAAGGAAAAAATAAGAAAGGAAAAAGGAAAAAATAAGAAGGAAGGAAGAAGGAAGGAAGAAGAAAGGAGGAAGGAAGAAGGAAGGAAGAAGGAAGGAAGAAGGAAAGAAGAAAGAAGGAAGGAAGAAGGAAGGAAGAAGGAAGGAAGAAGGAAGGAAGAAGGAAGAGAATGAAAAAAAGAAAAAAGATAAAAGAAAGAATGAAAAAAGAAAGAAAAAAGAAAGAAGACAAAAGAAAGACGAAAGTCAAAAGAAAGAAGAAAGTCAAAAGTCGAAAGGAAGTCGAAAGGAAGTAAGTCGAAAGAAAGAGGAAAGAAAGAAGAGGAAAGACAGAAAGAAGGAAGAGGAAAGAAGGAAAGAAGGAAAGAAGAAAAGGAAACAAAGCAAGCCAAAAGGAGCCTTCGGTTGCGG